TAATGCATTGTTTCTCTGCAACTAACACGTAGTTTTCTTTTTTTTATCTTCAGAGAACTTAAGTCATTTACAGACTTCAATCAATTAGAATTCAAGAAGTCGTCTTCAGATAGCAGGTTTAGCGATAAACAGACTTGTTAATGACGATATATATTCAAGATTAAATCCACCTGCGTCCCTTAAACGTACATCGTGGTTTCTAATTCATTTGTAACTAGACAAACAAGCTTCTCTACTTCTATACTCCCATAATAATGTTTCCCACATGTGGAGTTTTAGACATATATTACATTACTATACTCCCTACTATTAGGAAAACTCTAACGCTACTTATTAATCATGTTACTTTATGTACTTCAAAAATAAAGAAAAAGTAAAATATTTCTAGAACAGGAATAATTTTTTTTTACCTTTTCTCCTATTTTTAGTATTACCGAATATCTCCTTCCAAGTTAGGCGATAATTAAAAGTATTGTTAGTGTATAAATCTAAGACATCAACTTACAACTTCCATCGTATCTAGTATTAATCCTGCGTAAAAAAGTATTGTTAGTGTATCAATCTAAGACATCAACTTACAACTTCCATCGTACCTGGTATTAATCCTGCGTAAAAAAAGTATTGTTAGTGTATAAATCTAAGACATCAACTTACAACTTCCATCGTACCTGGTATTAATCCTGCGTAAAAAAGTATTGTTAGTGTATCAATCTAAGACATCAACTTACAACTTCCATCGTACATGGTATTAATCCTACGTAATAGTTAAAATCATAGCTCTTTGGCCTAATTCTAAAATTTTTTGAGGCACGTTCTTACCTTGCAGTTATAAGTTAACTGGGTCAACTTTGTATCGTACTGTCCGCATTTAAAGGATACTAATAGCCAACGCCCGTAATATCCTTGCATCGTGAGTTTTTCAACTTTATAGCTATATGGATCGGAACAGATTTCACGTTGCCTCTAATTATCAAGAAAAATGCACCGTTCTCCTCCCGTTATATATTGTACCGAATAAACAGGCTTTTAAAGTTAATTATTTCACCTCTACATTTATAAGTACCCTGACTTATAAAACTTTTTCATCAGAGATATAACTTTCTTTTATATTTACAAATCAAATATAACATTATTTCTTAGCTATCTTAAAACAAATCTCATGTTAGTTATATAGAAATGAATTACTTCTCCAGATAGTTTACAGTACCGAAGTTTAGGCTTCCTGCCATCGTTTTTAACCCTTTTTATTTTACTGTCCTATATTTATATTTATAATAAGAAAACTATAATCACAGCATGTAGGATTACATAGCAAATCACTTATAACAACAATAACAGTAAACGACTACGTGGCAGAAATAAAATAGCAGTTACTTATGAGCAGTAACTAGTCTGTTTTACTTTTACAAATCACCAACAAAACTAGTCTTAAGTAACAAAGGGCGTCAATAAAGTAACAAAAGTTGTTGTCTTGTATGCATGTTAGTCTCAAGTAACAAAGAGCGTCAATAAAGTAACAAAAGTTGTTGTCTTGTATGCATGTTAGTCTCAAGTAACAAAGGGCGTCAATAAAGTAACAAAAGTTGTAGTCTTGTATGCATGTTAGTCTCAAGTAACAAAGGGCGTCAATAAAGTAACAAAAGTTGTAGTCTTGTATACATGTTAGTCTCAATTAACAAAGGGCGTCAATAAAGTAACAAAAGTTGTAGTCTTGTATACCCCTTTGTTACTTGAGACTAACACGTATACAAGACTACAACTTTTGTTACTTTATTGACGCCCTTTGTTAATTGAGACTAACATGTATACAAGACTACAACTTTTGTTACTTTATTGACGCCCTTTGTTACTTGAGACTAACATCGTCAATAAAGTAACAAAAGTTGTAGTCTTGTATACGTGTTAGTCTCAAGTAACAAAGGACGTCAAAAGAGCAACAAAAGTTGTAGTCTTGTATACATGTTAGTCTCAAGTAACAAAGGGCGTCATTAAAGTAACAAAAGTTGTAGTCTTGTATACATGTTAGTCTCAAGTAACAAAGGGCGTCAATAAAGTAACAAAAGTTGTAGTATTGTATACATATTAGTCTCAAGTAACAAAGGACGTCAAAATAGCAACAAAAGTTGTAATCTTGTATACATACATGTCTGAAATTATAACTGTTAACCAATAAACTACTCAAAATGTCCGTTTAATCAACCATAGCATTAAGAAAACTGTGTTTATAATAATAGCCCACTTTATATATCCAACTAATTTCAAAACCCTGTTCCAGTTAAAGATTATTCCTAACAATCAAAACATCAAAACAGACAGGTTAAGTAAAGTAATTTTAAACGTACGATAAGAAATTTAATATATGAAATATCTATCACGTGCTCTGCAATGCACAATGTAGAATAGCAAAGTCGTGAATTTCAAGATCGTCGGCCCTAGAGATGCTGGGACTCCGTGGGTTTTAGATTCTAGTTGTGGTGCTACGATATATGCTATGCACTTGCAGCTGCGAGTGCGTTATAAGGGTAAGAGCCAACCTAGTTTTCCTATTAGAGTAGCTGCTTGAGATGGCGGGTGCTACCGACTAGTTTTCTTCCTTCTCTCCTGCAATTAAAAATTAGAGACGAGTTCTTATCCCATTGTGTGCATAAGATGCTGTTCAGGAAAGCAAACAAACAAACTTTATAGTTGCAGCCAGGACCGCTCCATCTCCACACACTCCCGGTGGCTCAGCGTAAGTCTGAGGACTTATCACAGATAAACTATTATGAAGCCTTCTACTCAACAGAAACGATCAGATCCAATAGGATATAGTATATTATAAAGCCTTCTACTCAACAGAAACGATCAGATCTAATCACAGATAGTCTATTATAAAGCCTTCTACTCAACACAGATGATCAGAACCAATCACAGATAGCTTACTATGAAGCCTTCTACTCAACACAGACGATCAGAACCGATCACAGATAGCCTATCATGAAGCCTTCTACTCAACACAGACGATCAGAACCGATTCAGGACAGATTTAAAGAACAACTCTTTGTTTATTTGTTTGTAGTTAAGCACAGAGCTGCACAATGGCCTATCTGTGCTCTGCCCACCACAGGTATCGAAACCTGGTTTCTAGCGTTGGAAACCCGCAGACATACCATTGTGCCACTGGGGGGGGGGACAACTGAAGGCACTACACAATCTGTAATAAAATGAGTTACTCGTTTCTGCGATTAAAGAAAGATAAGATATTTTTAGTCAGAAATTTGACCCAGTCATTAAAATATTGATTCATTTAAAGTTATTGTTTCGAAAATGATCTTATAATCAATTTTAATTTAAGGGAACTAGTTTAGAATAGTAACTTTACGACGATGAATTTACAGTCGGGTGGTTTGATGTCGTCGCTTCAGGCGTTTGTTTGATTCGATTCTTTTTTGGTATCCAGACGTCTACGGAATACAAAATATGTATGTTTGGTGTCACTTCTGTTTGTTTGTAGTTAAACACAAAGCTACACAATGGGCTATCCGTGCTCTGCCCACCACAGGTATCGAAACCCGATTTCTAACGATATAAGTCCGTAGATTTACCGCTGCGGCACTGGGGGGCATTGGTGTCACACGATAGCCATAAAGTAGTTAACGATTTTTAAATATGGCACCAAATTATTATTTATAATTTACAAAATATTATATTGATTTGGGTCTGAAATTACTAGATATTGCCATCAACATACAAAGCTATTATTTAGATCTTAACTTCTTTATTTTTAACTTATGTTTTTGGAGAATGCTGCCGATCTATAACGAGTGCTTTGGAGTAGTTGACATTGAAATTACGTTCAACGTGTCTAAACGAAGTTAGTGACAAAAGTAACTACAATATTATTGAAGTACTTAATAGAACACATTTTTATATTCAATTCATTTACAATCAACAATATATTGACATTTGTGACGATCTTTCGTAGACCTTTTTAATGTAAATACTGTAATGTATACACATATCTCAAGTAAAATAGTCTTCAGTTACATATTTTCACTAATTTCAATTATATTTGATGGAATACAGAGTAGGAAACGACAACTAATTACGTTTCACGTAAGTCATGTTTTAAGTGCCTGTTTTGTAATTATATATTGTCCTTTACACGATGAATATTCATCTACATAAGTCAAAAACTCAAGATGAAGATTAAAAAAAAATATTTGCTAAGCCATAAACAAAAGACGAGAATTTTGAAAGGTAATGATAATTCGAGAATAAGAGACAGAAACAATTTTTTCAAGTGTTTTTTTTTTCACAATGGTTAATTATTATACTGCTTATCACTGCGAAATATTTCCTTCAGGCTGATACTGATCTAATGAGCTGTTTGCCTCAAAATAAATACATTGTATATATAAAAAAATATTATCCAACTTTCTCATTCAACTATATATATTGAACCATTTATTATTGGTACCATTATCTTTAATTTATATGGGATATCATTTTCAACACGAAACTATGTAAAAAGGTAACATTATTGTTCAAATTAAACTATGTAAAAAGGTAACATAATTGTTCAAATTAAACTATGTAAAAAGGTAACATTATTGTTCAAATTAAACTATGTAAAAAGATAACATTATTGTTCAAATTAAACTATTTAAAAAAGTAACATAATTGTTCAAATTAAACTAAGTAAAAAAGGTAACATTATTGTTCAAATTAAACTATGTAAAAAGGTAACATTATTGTTCAAATTAAACTATGTAAAAAGGTAACATTATTGTTCAAATTAAACTATGTAAAAAAGTAGCATTATTGTTCAAATTAAACTATGTAAAAAAGGTAACATTATTGTTCAACTTAAACTGTGTAAAATAAGTAACATTATTGTTCAAATTAAACTATGTAAAATAAGTAATATAATTTTGAAATTTAAACTATGTAAAATAAAACGTATGATTTGTTTAACGTGTTTAACATATTCTTGATTCTTTGACATAAAGTTCACTTACCTGGTTATCTTGGTTTATAGTTTTAGTCTGCATGATATCTGTAGGTTTTGAACTCTTGGATTATGCCCCTAGTTATCCTTGCTGTTGCATAAAACGTCAAGACAAAATTGAAGTCTCCTGACCTGAGTATGAACAAAAGTTTGATATTTTGTATTAAAGCTTGGCATATACAATTACAACAGATTTACAGGACAAATGTGATTTTTAACGATAGAACGAAAAAAAAAACAGAAGCAGGGGCGTTCTTAACATTTCAAACTACTCGGTGCAACTTTCTTAGTCGACCCGTCGGTACTGATCAGCTATAAGTATAGAAATTTATAAGGTTTTTTTTTGCATTACTTTGGGGTCCCGCAATATGAGGGGCTCGTCGATGCGTTGCCCCGATTGCGCCGAAGTTAAAGACGCCACTGGCCAGCAGTAGAAATTAAATTGTCGTAAGTCGATATTTAAGTTTTTTCTTATAATGACAAACACATGTTATGACGATGTTGTCGTTGAAGTAACTGAGAAAACAAGTAAGTATTCTCAGGGAAATTTATATCTAAGTAAGTATTCTCATGGAAATTAATATCCAAGTAAGTATTCTCAGGGAAATTAATATCTAAGTATGTATTCTCAGGGAAATTTATATCTAAGTAAGTATTCTCAGGGAAATTTATATCTAAGTATGTATTCTCAGGGAAATTAATATCTAAGTACGTATTCTCAGGGAAATTAATATCGAAGTACGTATTCTCAGGAAAATTAATATCTAAGTATGTATTCTCAGGGAAATTTATATCTAAGTAAGTATTCTCAGGGAAATTTATATCTAAGTATGTATTTTTAGGAAAATTAATATCTAAGTATGTATTCTCAGGGAAATTTAGCAACAAAAGAAGTTCTCGTTACATAGATATAATTTCAATGAACGAGTGGGTTCAATCATCATAGAAGGTGTTGAAGTGAGAGTTACTACATAGAACTTTAGGCATACATTTTTAAGCAGCGCCACCTTTATTTACATTGGCATTTATACGGCTTCCAATTCAGGTTAATTCTCATACTTTGCTTGTTTTTCTGTTTCATGTTTCGCATATGACATAGAGGAAACCAAAACCAAAACTCGTAATTACCAGCTATCTAGTTGTATTGATAGCCGTTACTTCTAGCTGTATATTACATAATAACATTTGTGTTTTAGTATATTTCAGAACGTTACCATAAGAAAAACAGTCCCTATATTCTTACATCCCTGGTTACATCCCTGGTCAACATAGGTTGAGCTTACTTTGTAATATTTCTAACTCAAAATATTTTGCTGAATAGGCTAAGCATTTATCCCTTAGGGGGGTAAGCTTGAGGGCTTATAATGATAAAATGATAAGGACAACGCAATCATTTTATTGTGCATCTTTGTGTTTGAAACCAAAGCAAACCCCTTAGGGATCACAGTAACTTGGACCAATTGTTTAATAACTATAATATATTAGGGTCAATGGCATGATCTTATTCGCACATCTAAATTAATTGGGGTTATTGTATAGGGGTGTTAAAAATCACTTTAAAATACCGTAAATATTATATACACATCACCATTATAAGAGGCCTAACTGTATTTATTTGGTTTGATGACCCACGCTGTGCTGATGAATCTTGAATGGGCGAAACTGCAGTCCACAGCAGAATAATTCTCATAACCTCAACCATATTTTGTAATAAAGTTTCTAGTACCTTGTTAAAAAGATGCCCATTTTTACACAAACTACCCAACTTTTAATGTCAAATGAGTAATTTTAAAATTTGAAATCATTAACAAACATATCCTTGTAGCCATATCCAAGCAATATTCTTAATATAACTCATCAATTTATAAAACATAGATCTTTGTAGCAAGGGGTAGATGATGTTAAGCTTTATTTTTACGTTGTGAGACTGTGCAGTAGACAGCCATCTTTCTTATCATCTATTACGATACACAAAGAAAGTATACATTTTTTTTATTAAAACAACTGTTTCACACAGACTGCAAAACAGACATGAAATATCTTTTTTTAAAACTGTTACTTCTATGTTCAGGTTGTGTGATATGAATTAAAAAGCAATGTGCAAATACCAATACTGTGAATACCTGTTGTATGTAGTACTTTAATGTATATCGTAGATTAATGTATATAGTAGTTTAATGTATGTAGTAGTTTAATGTATATAGTAGATTAATGTATATATTAGTTTAATGTATATAGTAGTTTAATATATATAATAGTTTAATGTATATAGTTGTTTAATGTATATACTAGTTTAATGTATATAGTAGCTTAATGTATGTAGTAGTTTAATGTATATAGTAGTTTAATGTATATAGTAGTTTAATATTTATATAATAGTTTAATGTATATAGTAGATTAATGTATATATTAGTTTAATGTATATATAGTAGGTTAATATTTATATAGTAGTTTAATGTATATAGTAGATTAATGTATATATTAGTTTAATGTATATAGTAGTTTAATATATATAGTAGTTTAATGTATATAGTAGATTAATGTATATAATAGTTTAATGTATATAATAGTATAATATATATATATAGTAGTTTAATGTATATAATAGTATAATATATATAGTAGTTTAACGTATATAATAGTATAATATATATATATTAGTTTAATGTATATAGTAGTTTAATGTATATAATAGTATAATATATATAGTAGTTTAATGTATATATATATTAGTTGAATATATATAGTAGTTTAATGTATATGTATATTAGTTGAATATATATAGTAGTTTAATGTATATAATAGTATAATATATATAGTAGTTTAATGTATATATAATAGCATAATATA